ACAGAAAAAGATATTTTAAACAAGTGAAATAGGAAAAGTACAGACTCTGCATACTACTAAAATCAATGCTGAAGTGGTGTGCAAATACCTTCTTGTCATCAACGTCAGTGTAGACTCACTAGACAAACCAACAGAGAATTTGTGTTGGGCAACTGGTCCCATAGCTGTTGCATCTGCTGGGGCTTTTAGGTATTTAGTTAACTCAAGAGGAATTCAGAGAGCTCTGTAATGAGATGTGTTTTGAAATCATTAGATATAGTCATATAGATGAGAGCTTCACTCTACAGGAAGCCTGGTAATAGATTTAGCCCTTCTCCACTTAAAATAAATGGCTTTAGAGTTTCCAACTGCTGTTGTACCACTGTATCCTGTCTCTGCTCCTGAACAGAGTCTGATGTCTTTTCACACAGCAAATATAAGATAAATAAATACAGAAATTGAGACAGGTTGAACCCACAGGTCATTTCTAAAAAATCTTGGATGGATTCACATTTCTAATCCTATAATTTTGCAGTTAATTTGTTTCAATAGAGCAGAGAATTTGCTTCCAAAATCCAAAGTTTGACCCTTAGTCCCCATGTGTCATAGTCCTAATTGGAAAAAATAATGTACCTTTCTGCCAAAGAATACTGCTTGTAGGTGAGAAAAGGATTTATCAGTGTTCATCTAGAGGAGTTACTAAAATAGCAGGCAAGGGTTAAGAGCAATTTGAAAGACTACTCAGTAACAATGATTCATTTTAACTTTCTTTCCTGTTCCTCTTAGATTTTATTTCTTCCCTTTCTCCTTCCTCTCCTTCTACACCCTCCCTCTCTTCCTGCTGAGAAAATCTGAAAATCTTTTCTCTGTTATCATGTCCTTTCAGCTTCACAAGGAGGACATGTTCACTCCTGGAATATAATGTATAGATTTCCTGCATCTGCTTAGCACACTCAAAATGGGGGAATGAGGTGGCAAAAGTAAAAAAAGTAAGGAACTAGCTGCAGTGAGATAGTTAGTTATACACCAACATTAAGCTTCAGCTCTCTTGAAGTTGTTAGAGATTTAATCCTTCTCATTTCCCTGAACCTTCATCAACTTACCCAGCAGGGTCACTTTGCCCTGGTAGTGGCAATTTGAGGTGGTCTCCCACAAAATCAGTTGAGCTGTTTCTATGTAAAACTATGTTTAGCATTGCTCCTATGTGTCTTTAATTTTTTTTTTTTTAACTGTTAATTTATTGTGCCTCATCAGTGTTTTTACAAAGAACAAAACAGAGGATACAATTTCTGGGGTCCTTCTTCCACAGTTGCTTCCCAGACACTGAAGAGTAATGCATCTGGAACTGTTCGCTATTCTCCAAAAGCATCAGCACATCTTGCCACCTCACACTGACAACCTAGACCTAAATATGCATGAGATGACAACAGCAGCTGTCTCTTAGTGCTGCCTTCTGGGGAATCCCTAATAGCAGCAACGCCAAAAGATTGTGCCAGAGAATTCAGTTCTTAAGCAGACAAATCCACCTTCTCCCCCAGTCTGTCTCCTGCCCATTACAGCTGATACATTCCATGACACAGAGATCAGCACAGACCTGCCAACACAGCCCAGCACAAGCTACAGCTTCATCTCCATCTATCCACTTATTGTCTTTCTGACAGCATTTTTATCAAGGGTGAAAAAAAGGGTGTCATTCAGCCAGTTTGCCTGCCCCACTGCATTACAAAATGAAAATGGAGGGCAGAACATCAGAGATGGGCTCGTGGCTGCATGGCTAGTCTCCTAGTTGTTTTCCTTTGATGGACAGATTACAAAGAAATGATTCTTTGTCACCAAGTTTTAGTCACTGGAGTACTAGCAGACTTCTCCCTTGATTCATTCATAGTTCATAGTTCATGGAAGCCATAAGAGCATGACCTGGCAGAACTCAGTCTGGTCTAGACTGACCAAGCTACAGCCACACAGGGCATTCTCAATCATCCATACTCTTCCCCGAAGCGGAGACACTGTTGTACCTTAATTTGACAGTAAGAAAATAAAGAGTGGTTTAAAATGAAAGCTGTTAGTCAAGGATTTCGTCATAACAGACAGATTTGGAAAGAACAAAGTTCTCATTATACTGACTGTTGAGATTCTCCTTTGTGAAACTGTGACAAATCTAATAGTGCATGGGGGGATATTTTTTAATAGAGTCAACAGGCAGATGGATGAGATTTTAGACAGACAGAGACATAAGTGTATAAACTTCAGCCAAACACAAAGAAAGAGAAAGTGCCTGGGAAAATGTAACTGAGAGTAGCTCAGCATGGCTTGGTGTTGGGAGCTGAACTTGCAGCTTTGACAAGGCTGACTTTAAGGCGACCTTCAGTGAAGCTCTTTAACAGTGTATGCTGGGCAATCGCTGGTAAATCTTTATTAATTTTAATTGGCGGCACCCATTTATAAGAACCATTAAAAAGGATAAATTGAGCCCATCCGGCGTAATGTCTTTTGTTAATTAGTTTGTCAGCACTGTTTTAATATCCCCTAATGACTTCATATTTCAGGCCTGACATTAAAGGAGACACTGTGAGAAAGGAAATGGTCTTATCACCGTGTACATTTTTTTCTTTTTTTGAACAAAAAGTGTCCTTCCAGGCCTGACCAAGGTTAGGTGTCATTTAACTCAGACAGACAGGTACCACAAGACTTGGAAGGGCCCTATCACCCTATCCAAACCTCACCTTGCTACTGAACAACATGCTCTGCTAAGATTTTCTCTTTTTACAGACCCATACAACAGCAGAAGGAATTAAAGTCATTAGTCACCAAATTCCCGTACTCCATAGCTCATCATGGACTTGTCTTTAGTCTCAAAATACAATCATGTGGGAAAAACACAGGAAAAACCTAGTACACAATTGCAGCCATGCCTCCCTTAAGTAAAACAGCTTAAGCCCCAAAGATCTGAAGGTCTTTTGATTCACGAGGACACACACAATACCAATCTCCTGATCTGTTTTGGGAACCACAAACTTACAAATGAGAAGTTAATAGGGTAAGAGCATCAACAAAGAATGCTTTGTGTATGGATGTAATTTGTCAAAGGAGACAATGGAGAAATTATTTCTCTGGCATGATGCTTGGTCTGGAACAAAGGTGAGTGAGCAATTCTGTGATGTTGGTGTCAACAGTTCTCTTCTTGTGCTCATCCTGTATTTCTTGTAATAGCACACTCAAACTTTTATCCTGGAAGATTAAGAACTTTAATTCAGTTATGAATGTTGGAAAAGCATTTCTTATGAGTACAATATTTTAGACTTTTACATCTCAAATAAGTTAGGAAGATTTTAAATTAGCTAATAAAATTGATTTAAAATATTTTATCCTTTTTCTTTATTATGTATGCACTGGATAATTTTTATTCAAGGAGGAAGTCCATTCAAGGAAGGGCCAGGAGAAGGATCAGCTGTAGTCATCACAGAAGATAACACAACCCATCATTGTCTGAGAACTCCCTTTATGAGGTGAACCTTGTGTAGACACCATGTTTCTCTCCTCACACATATGCCACAACGTCTTTGAGCTAATAAACACTGGAATTTTTCATCTAGGGAAGCATTTCCTCACTATGAGGTCTGCAGCAAATTTTGTTTCCACTCAGTTTCCTACAGTGACTTGTTCAATCAAGGGGAAGATCCTGAATTAACACTGACTTTTTGTCAGTGAAGTGTTGTCTTGTGAGCTGGATTCTATTAGTTTTTTTCATTTAAGATTACAACAGGTGAGCAATATGAAGCAAATAATATCCCCCAGTAGTTAATATTACATTTGATGCTTTGGTGCCTAATGTTGGATTAATGCACATGATGGTGAAGTGAATAAGTGAGACATAAATAATAGAAAAATTAGCTTTTCTTCTGTCTTACACAGCTTTGCAAACCACGAATATTTTCATTAATTGTAAGGTGCTTACATTTATGCCATAATAGTAAAAGAAAAATTAAATCTTTAGCTAATAAAATAGCATATTTTTTATTTTAAATTTTAAATTTACCCATAGATGGCTCTTCATAGGCATCATACTGAGAATTGTAGAGAGACATGTTCCGCTTTGCTAGATCACCTTTCAGCAAAACACAAACAAGTAATTACTGTAGCAACTGAATCAGTTAATAGTTTTATTACTGAGCAAAATCCTTGCCTCAAAGTCAATTGAAATCTCACTGTAAGGGTCTGGAGAACTAGCAGGTTTTGCTTTTTCCATTAAAATTTAAGGTTAATGATTTTATGAGATTTTTTTTTTATAGATACACAGTCACAGCATTTGAATATTAAAAGCTGCTCTTTGATCTCCTGAAAGCCATCCTACCATCATTACAAGCTTTTGCCATGTTTCATGCAGATTTAAAATTTTCAGAGGACTGCTAAAACTATGCCCTATTTTGAAGCACACAGTAAAAGCATGCCTAGGGTGAAATAGATATTCCCAGCAGTCTGAACACTTCTTTGAATGAACTGCCTTTACAGGGAATAAAAGTCTTGAGTTTTTTCTCCAACCAGCCTGTCTCTTGTGCACTTGTGTGCTCTACAGAACTCAGCCTTTCATAATCAAAGGTCTGTGTAACACTGGCAGCAGAGTTGGTACTTAGTCTCCATTTTGCAGCTCTGACAAATACAAATTTACATAATAGTCTTTCATTTCTATAAAACATTGTTATTCATGACAAGCATATTTCCAGTCTTCACCACAGAACAAAACCTTGTGTTTTCATTGTTCCAGTACCTCCATCTCTCGTTGTACAAAAAATTATGCCTTAATTAGTTTTGCTATTGCTAGCTAGAAAGTGAAAAAAGACAATTTTCATCAGATGCATTAACTCAATGACAGATGAAATTCACCTGGGAATTCAAAAAGAAAGAAACTAATGTTCCTGTTTCCAGTCACATCTAAGAGCCAGAGAGAAGAGAGTGGCATCTACCACTACCAAAATATGGCAAACTAAGGCTTAGCCTTTCCATTCCTTCTATTCCCCTATATATTCCAACACTATTTTAATCTGTTGATGACCTTCCTTCTTTCATATAAAATTTTCCATCCTCCAGCATGTCACTGTTAATTCTACTCTTCAGGATTTAGTTATCTACTAAGGAAATGTCCAAATACTAATAAATGCCTAAAAATAAAATTCAATAAAATGAAAATTAAATTTAAAATAATTAAATAAAATAAAAATTTATTAAAATTTTAAGTTAGTGAATGTGCCAAACATATTTCACACACTTTAATAAAATTTTAATACTTTATTGCCAACTTTTAATAAATTATAGTTTTTATCCAAAATCCAGCTTGCCAAATTAAAACAAAACAACAAAAAACCTAAAAAACCCACAAACAAACCAAAGAAACCCACCAACCCCCCCCCGCCATCTTAGTGCCTAAGAAATGTGCCACCCAGAAAAATAATCTGACCAGTCTAGATAAGTCTGTATAATAGTTTTACAAATGTATATGAACAGAATTACAGGAAGGCCCCATCCATGACATACAGACCCTGTATGTGTCAGCTGAAGTACCTTGCCTCGTCCTCCAGGCTTGTTCTGATTCTATTACCTGCCAGAAATCATTGAGGAACTTAGGCAGATTGATCTGTGTGCCTGGATTACTCAGTGCATATGTTGAAAATATCAAGTTGAAGCAAGACAAACATCACAACCCAGCAACCCATATTTACAAGGACGCTCTTTTTTTTTTTTTAAATAAAGCTGTTAATAATAAAATCAAGCTGTTTACTTCAATAACAGATAACTACATGCAATACATTCCCTTCAAAAAGCTCACAAAAACGCATTAACTGGTAGTTCCCAGACTGGAGCAACAGCTGGAAGGCCAACATAAACCATTCCATCAGAAGCAGAAAATTGTACTGATACTACAAGGGCTACCAGGGGTTCAGAAAGTGTTTCCAGTGGTCCCTTGTCTCAGCTGGTATTGAACCTGTAGTTGCTTTCTGCAGAGAGGAGCCACTACTGCCTCAGTGCCAAAGTGAGTCAGGCATCCCACTGTTGATCCTGATGTTTCCTGGATGCCTGGTGGCCTTCAACAAATTTGTCTGCCTCACATGTTAATATACCCGGACACATGCTTGTGGATTCAACAGCATTACTGACTCTAGAGCTAATCAGGTTTTGAGAGACTTTCAGACATGACCTCTCAGCACGCTCTTTTGCCCCCTTTGATTCACTCTCTTCTGGTGTCCCTTTCTACCTCCATAGATAAATACCTGTGGAATCCTTCACACCCACACAGAAGAGGCCTTTACAACATACACACAGGAGATCTGACACTTCTGGGAAAAAGCAGAGCTGTTAGGTAGTACCATGTGAACTGTACTCCTATGTGCAGTGGCTCAAGAAGTGATGTCAACAGGCCTGTGAAAGTCACAGTAAAAGCTATAAATGTACTTGTCTACAGTGAATATAATTTTTATTTTAAAAAACCACTAAGAACTATAAAGGTAAAACAAAAGTAAAGTTCTTCAAGTGTTTTTTTTTTTTATTTAGCATATTGTTTAAATAATAGATTAAAACCAAGTTCAAAATCACCTGCCTTGATCAATCACCACGAGATCATGGTCTATTTTTTCACCAGAATCAGCTTTGTAGCTCATACCTCAGCACTGGAAAAAACAATTGCTTGATGTTCATCCATGGGAAAGAAATATAAAAGGAAACAGAAAAAAAAAAATCAGATGAATTTATGCAGAATCAGAAACGTCACTCTTTGTGTCATATGCTCCTCTGTCATACGAACATTTAGCCAGCAAGTTGTTAGTCCTGCATCATGGTGAGCATCCAGTATCAAAGGAGAGTAGTGTGTGTTAGCCTGCACTTACTGGTACAGATCTCAAGCCATTGCCCATTTTGCAAAGAAGAAACTGATACACTAAGAGAAGTTGCTTGATGGCAGAACCAGGATACATCTGCTACTGCTTTTTTTCTGAAAAATACAAAATTTTTTTTCTTTTTTCTTTAGTATGGAGGACTAGAAAGTTGAGCCTGCATATATCTCAGATCTTCTTTGACAAGAAACCTACTGATCTTCCCAAATTTCCTTATTTTCTTCAGTATTGCCCTCTCTGTAACTTCTCACAAACCAATTCCTGGTCACAAGTGGTCAGAAGTGATAGAAACCTTAGTACCAGTCATTTCAATGAACAATTCCCTCTTTGCCTTCAGACCTGTCACTTATAATCTCACCATTTTCTCTTAATCCACTGCTTCCCATAATGAAAACAGTCACAACTGTAATGACGATAGTTTTGAAAATAAAATGGACTTATAATGTAGTTCATAAAGGAATAAAAACCTGCAGAAGTCAATTAATAGGAGTCCCATGGCCCCTATTCACAAGACTACACCAGACTTTTCTCACAGAAGATAAAATAATCATAATCAAGCAAACCTGAAGATTAATTCCACCTTAGTGAACTGTCTCCCAACATTTGATAGTTAACCCTTGTCCTTTGTTACCCAGTTTTATTCAAATTATACAATCCACTGAATAATCCATATATTATAGTCTTGATCCATATGGAATAGTCTTGATCTGGAACCTATGTACAATTACTTCCTTATCTGTGTTTTTGCTTCCACTCTCCAGCCAAAAATAATGCCATTTTGGAATAAATGTCTTGCCAAGAAGCTCCATTTTTGCTTTGTGGGACCATTCCACATTAAACTCGGTATTTCCAATGAGGTTTTTCAATCATCCTGTTCACAACCACACAGTTTCATGGAATCATAGAATGGTTTGGGTTTGAAGGGACCTTAAAATCATCTAATCCACCCTCCCTGCCATGGGCAGAGAATCTTCCACTAGAAAGCTGTTTCAAAACCAACAAAAGTGCACTGAAAAGGCAAGTGCATTTCAAGTTTTATATTAGTAACCCAGAGCTACTCTCAGCATTTGCCTGCTTTTATGGAGGGGTGAGGCAGCCACAAGCATAGACCAGCATCCATTCAAGCATTTCCAATGACTTTTTCATTGTCTTCTCCATTAGTACCAAGTGTTGTGTACATATGCAGGTCCTTCATATCCATAGGGAAAGCTGAGATACGTGGTACAAGGGAAGCTGGTTAGAGGTGCTTAAACCAGTGGGTACGAGAGGTGTTCAGGTCAGAGCCTACCCAAGGGTTACCAGGCTGAGTTCTACTTGGTGGGAAACATGGGATTATCCCTGGGAGCAATTGTACTGACTCACAAGACATGTGGAGCCTGGTCTAAGCCCAAACATAACCTTGAGTACTGCAAGCACTAGTCTCTAATTGCTGGCTCCTCTACCCAGCCTGGGTGACAGGAAGAGAGCAAGAAAGCCTACCTGCAGATCATCTCTACCTGGTGGCAGCTGGAACAGCAACACTGCTTCTGGATTCCTCCTGCCTGAGCAACTCAGCATGTTGGCAGAGTTCCCGGTACAGCTGCTAGCTGCAGGCTTTCACCGATCAGGTGCACTATGTTCTCTCTCTGTATCTGATAGCCACTAATGCCTGAAGTCACATTGGTCTTAAGAACAAAGACTGTCCAGAGTTGCAATATTGAAGCACAGTCCTTTTCCAAAACCAGAATCTCTTAGCATGAGGCTTATCTCAGAGCCAAATGCATTGCATCAGCTTCCTGGAAGAAGTACTTTGAAAGGTTTTGACCTTCCTTTTCCATTTGGGGACAAAAGTGTTTCAATCATATCATCCAACACCTAAACAGGAACAGATTCTCACTCCCAAGTTTGAGAACCAGAAATAACATTTTAAAATAGCAAGCAGCAATCTTTGTGACAGTGAAAAATTCACTTGGAAAGCATCAAAGTGTGTGGAGACCTCACACAGTTTGGAGGAGCTGGTTCTTTGAGATTTAGCTGTGGCTCAGTTAGATGGGTCCTCAAAGCAGCTTGATTCCCCCCACACAAGAGATTAGAATATCAAACAAGTGCTCTCAGAAAGGGCACTAATTCAGTTTCTGCTGTTATTCTGTACAGATCTCATGCAAAACTCTCTGTCCTCCAGGTGATACAGTAATATGAGTTCACTTACACAAGCTCACTTATGATCTGACGTGGCAAAAAGGACAATTAAATTGTTGAAAATAAAACTATTTTAAGAGTTGAGGGAAATCCTCACACAGCCTTAATATTGTTCACACAGCTTTCTACATGCAACACATAACTAAATAATTTATATAACCAAATTCACAATTTCACTGAATCATCTATGCAGTGAATAGTGATCAATTCATTCTTTGTAACAAAATTAACCTGACACTCCTCTCAACCATGCTAAAATAACAAGGCAGCAGTTGTGAATTTCTCTGTTAACTGAAAATCAAACAAATTCAGCAGAAACACATTGCTACTGTCTAACCAATGAAAATGTTATATATCTAAGAAGAACACTGATTTAATTTCCTACTCATACTTGCCAATTGTTAGCTAACTCTGTGAAATTCCTCAGAAGATCATGAAGCATGGGCTGGATAAATGGGTTGTAAGGTGGAGTGAAAACCTCCTGCACTGTCAAGGGGTTCAAAGGGTTGTGATCAATGGCCCAAAGCCCAGCTGGAGGCCAGTCACTAATAGTGTACATCAGGGGTTGATACTGGGGTCAGTAGTATTTTACATCTTCCTTTATGGGCTGGATAATGGGACAGCGTTCACCCTTTGCAATTCTGCAGATGGCACAAAATTGGGAGGAGTGGTTGACATACCAGAGATTTGTGCTGCCATCAGAAGGACCCTGGTCAATGGGTCATGAAAATTAACAGAGCAAAATACCAAATCCTGCATCAAGGGTGAAATAACCCCACATACAAGTGCAAGATAGGGCTGACTAGCTGGAAAGACACTCTGAAGAAAGGGATCTAGGGATACTGGTTGAACATGAGCCAGCAATGTGCCCTTGTGGCAAAGAAGGCAAATAGCCTCCAGGACTGGATGAGCATTGCCAGCAGCTTGAGGAAGGTGTTCCTTCCATTCTGCTTAGCACTGGTGAGATCCTACTGGGAGTGCTGCATCCAGGACTAAGCATCCCAGAAGAAGAGACATGAACACAGTGTAGCAAGCCCAGCACGAGAGCCACAAAGATGATTTAGGGTCTGAAGCACCTATCATATGAGGAGAGGTTGAGAGAGGTGAAATTGTTTAACCTGGAGAAAAGAAGATGCAAGGAGAATCTTGCAAATGTGTAAAAATACCTATTCAGAAAGGAGAAAGAAGAGACAGAACCAGATTCTTCTCAGTGGCATCCAGTGACAGGACCGGAGGCAATGAGCATATAATGAAACACAGGAAGCTCCATTTAAACATAAGAAAAGTTCAGTGTGATGGTGGGCAAATGTTCAAACACACTATTTCAACATAACTTTAATCAATGGCTATGGATTCCATGCATTTGTGTGCTCTGGCTGACACCTCCTCATATATTTTTACATGCATATAAGCATTCAGCAATGTTCCAGATTAAACTTTTTAAGCCATCACAACCTTGTACTCCCAGTGTGTCAGAATATGAAACATCCAACTAACATTGACATCTAGCTAAGTTTATGCCAGTTCTGAACTCACTGCACTCTTGAAGGTTTCAGAAACAGAAAGAAGTAGATACTATAATAAAAGAATTTTTATGCCAGAATGTAGTTTGTAAATTGGGTAGAAATATCTCTTCAGCTACTTTGGCATGTTGTTTTACCCCTCTAAATCTTAAAAAAAAAACATAGCTAGTTTTCACTAACTGATCTTTAAATTTTTCTTCATGTTCACTTTTCACATTTCCAGTAAACACAGCACTATACTAAGCAAAAATACAGAAAACTCAAACCACCTACAAGTTAAGTGTCTCCTCGGGCTGATATCACCGGTCTTTTTGCTAATCACTTATTCATATCCTCAGCACCTGTCTTTGTGAGATCATTTTTTATTATCACTGGACTCAGTTAAGTATTTGTGTAATTTTCAGTCCACAGAATGTAAAAACTCCAGCAATACAGTGGGGAAGGTGAATAAAAACAGACAGTATATCTTTACTTGTCACAGATACAATCTACCCTCTGGGTAAACTTTTCATACCTGGAAAAGCCAGATGGAAAGACTATGGCCATGTTAATGGAAATAAAGAAGCAAAATGTCTGGTGACTACAAGAAAATGTTCATTGAGATGGGTCTTGAAATGAAACTTTCTCTTCTCTGGCTACACCTTTGGCTAGCTTTCAGCTGACCTACAAGGTATTTTGCAAAGTTGACCCAAATGAGGGAACAGAGATAGAAGATACAAGAACTGTTCTGGGTCAGACCAAAGGCCAGTCTAGCCTGATAACTTGTCTCCTACACTACCTCACAGTCACTGAATGTGCAATCCCAGAGCAGAATCAACTCTGGAACAGTCAGCCTGAATAGAGGCATGTAAAGAACTCATCTTGCTGTCCTGCTACTGTGAACAGAGACCAAAAATGGATATCTAGGGAAAGGATAAGAATAAGGTAGTTCTACATCCTGTGTATATGAGAGAAACCTGCTCTATAACTTTAAAAGTAACCAGCTGTACTTACTGTAAAAGTAAATCAGCTGTGGCTTGTGGAAGAAGATAATCCAGTGAGGCTGTATTACATTATGATTTTTAAGGCATTCACTTCAAAGACAAGCATTAAT